GCATTATTAGGGACTCTTGAGGGTCGCTGAGTTCAGAAATTACAGATACTTCCAAAAAATTCACGTTTTTAAAATTACAGCTCCGTACAGGACCACTGAGCGGCCGGTCAGCGCTCAGTGGGCCTCTAAAATAGCGCTACAGAGCTGTAATTTTAAAAACGTAAATTTTTTGGAAGTATCTGTAATTTCTGAACTCAGCGACCCTCAAGAGTCCCTAATAATGCATTTCGCTCAGTTTGAACATTCAATCAGATTTAATAACAGTCAAATTCCACTTTTTTGCGCGCGAAAATCGGTCGGCGCGCGTTGAGCGGAAACTTCAATCGATCATAACTCCGGAACCGTTTGGTTCCCTAGCTTAATGGACCACTCGTTGGATGCGGAAAAAGACGATCAATTTAAAAAACTGGCTTTGGTTCAAATAAAAAATTGAGATCTTTGTAAATTTTTCGTTTAAAATAAATTCTCTAGACCTAAAAACTGGAAAAAAGCACATATGTTGACTTAAAAATGTGATATCGGGATTTCGACCTTTAGGCTCTTAAATTATGCAATTTTAGACGATTTTTCGTCCAAACCGGACCTCGATATCTGTCTTCGTTCAAGAGATATCGAGGTTCACAGGTTTTGACTTCCAACCCCCCCTAGCTCCCCCCCCCCCAAAATTTTTTGGGGGTCTGAAAATTTGGGAAAAGAAGCGCTCAAGTATGAGTAATCAATAGACAAAGTCTGAAGAAATTCCAGAGGGGGGGCGAAAAAAGCCGTTTTTGCATCAAGCTCTTTCAGCTGTAGGGAATCTTTGAAAGTTAGAAAAGACGAGTGAAAATTCGGAGTTGTAATGCTGACCCACTGTGATCAGTTTTCGCTCCAGTTCCTTATCGTTACGATCTCGCTCCTGTGACTCGAAGTGAAGTGACTTGTATTTTCTTATACTGTATCTCTCTGCATCTGTGTCTTCTCTGTTTTCTGTATACTGTATTTCTTGTATTGTATTTTCTTTGTATTTTCTTTTTAGTGATTTCTGTTTCTCCAAAACAGCTCTTTTTAGTGCTTCATTATCGCGAACGGAATGGCGAAGAAGACACGCAAAAGTTCCTCGCATCCGATTTGCGTAGCTTTGCGAATAAGTTTAATTGATACTCGGCACCAATTTCACGCACTTTTTCCACAACACGGCTAACTACTTTGTGCACTGTTGGTTCAAGTCCACCGTTTTCCGACCGTAATACTTCACGAGTGTAAAAATAATATTTCATAACTTCCGCATGAGTTGGTAAAACAGTTTCTCTTAATTTTGCAGAGGAGCCGAAATTTGGATTCGCGATAATGAAGCACTGAAAAGAGCTGTTTTGGAGAAACAGAAAAGTCGAGATACGAGTCACTTCACTTCGAGTCACAGGAGCGAGATCGTAACGATAAGGCACTGGAGCGAAAACTGATCACAGTGGGTCAGCATTACAACTCCAAATTTTCACTCGTCTTATCTAAGTTTCAAAGATTCCCTACAGCTGAAATTTCCCAAACACGGATTTTGCCAGTGAGATTACGGCTGCACAGACACCGATCGAAGCCGGCACCTTGCCGCCGCGCGTCGCGTCGGATTTCCCTGGACCGGCCGGCCGGCCCCAAACGATCAAAGCAGGAACCAAGTGGACGCAGCGCGACGATCCACGCCATGGATAGCTCGAACACCGTCTCCGCATGTTTGTGGGTGAACGGTTAGAAATTCGCTAGAACGGACGAAATTTTGGTCCTCGAGACCGTAATTCGGGAAAATCTACTAGGATTGACTATTCACACTTACTTTCACGACAATACTGTAGATGGGCCATTCTGAAGGGCGTTACCGACTATTCATCGGGTGAAAATAGGCCAATTGTGTTTTGCTCGTACACGATACGTCAAATCGGACATTTTCGGCCTTCAGGACAACAATTTGACAAAATCTGTGAGGAAAGAAGTGTTGCGGAATGTAATTTCCATGGTTACCATCTTTCTATCTTGTCTCTGTACATTGTTTGATCTTGTCTCTGCTTTCCTACAACCCGGTTTACTTCCTGTATTTATTTAATTATTATTTCAATTACGACTTATTATAAAGTAAGAATGTACTGTCCTCTTCTGTAATATTAAATGTTACTTTCAGTTTGATTGGTTCTCCAAATACTTCATTTCTAAGGTTCGTTTCTGTCACTTTTCCTTACTCTTGTTTTCTGTCTAACCTCTAATCTTTGTGAGAAAATGCTCAACAACATGTATTTCAACCTTTAATATAATATATTAAAAATTTAGGTCTTTTAGGCCTCAATGCGGTATTAGGGGGTCAATTTTATGCAGCAAAATTTTTGGCACTTTATATGGGGCCTATTTGACAACTTTTTTCCAAAGAAACGCGTTTCCCCTCTTAAAGTCGATTTCGATCTACCCTATTGGGAGTGCGCAACTCAAATGGATAGGTGCTGGGGGGGGGGGGTTCCTTTCCAGGGTGAAATGATACAGGGTTCCACTTCTTTTAATTCAGGGCAACACTTTCTTCAAACACTCACAATACAGAGACGCAAATTCCACATGCTAACTCGATGCTTCCTGGTTCTAACACCCCGTTTCTCAGCCTATCAGGCTTTTTATAGCATCGGGTCCATGCCCATTAACCGACACAATTCTCGCTAAATTTTTCCTAACAAATTGCCCAATTTTGACTCGGAGACGTGCATCTCGAGAAAACATCGCAAAAAATTCCAAACAAATGACTTTCCGCGCACATTTCCAGCTTCTCTTACAATCCAAGACCAAAGTTCACCTCCTTGGCCTGAAACTCCGACTCTGTTGGGTTTTTGCTCGGACCTTTTGCCCCAGGCATCACAGTATTTGCATTTAATAAGACTATGACAAGGAATTTTCTGCCGAATAAATTTTCTTTCTAATTAAATAATGAGAAAAATTGGTTACAGTTCACGAATTAAAAGTAATCTGAAATATTCAGTAGGACTTTTTTCGTCAATGAAAGATCTGGGAAATTGAAGACAGTAGTTACTTGCAATAAAATGTAGGCTTCTGTAAAAGGCTGGTTTTTGGATCCTTCCTTGTGCTTGTTAAAGCCAGTTCTACATACTATACCCCAGAATTCTTGTTTGAAGTTCATTTTTTGTGATTCCCGCTTCTATGCCTCCATAAAATTCAGTTTCTGATACATGCATTCGTACATAAAGAATAAGACATACAATTTTAGCCTATAATCGAAAGAGCACTCTTCTGTTTGTGCATTAAAATTTGGCCAAGAATTTGCGGTTAGCCAAGTAGTTGAAAGCTTGATCTTTTCAAAAGGTAGAATGATTTTGACAGAAAGTTTATGTGGTTCCAGTGTACCTGGATTTCATCTAGAAGATTTAGTGCTTCAACAAAGGTCTCTTCGAGAGATACTTCAGAATTAGTCCAGGGTTGCAAGTCTTGCAAAAGTTTCCGCAGCTTAGCTTTATAAATAGTTTCTACCGGCAAACCGAACTTCTGTCCAAACGCTTCTGCTTGGTCGAATTTCCCTCTTTTTAGTAACCTGTCCAATCTGGGATGAAAAAATTCAGAAGAAACTGAAGTAAAATTTACAGACGAACAAAAAAATACTGACAAGAATATTAAAAGAAGATGAATAGCAGGTAGAGCAAAGCAAGTGTGGGTGATTATCCATGTCAAAGTTAAGACATTTAAGGAGAGGTATCATTAATATAAACTTCCAAGGATTCAGACTTTCAGCGATTCTACCTTTTTCTATTTCACTCGAGAGGTTGCCAAATTGTGCGATTAATGTGAATATTTTACATCGATTTGAATTGGGAAAAGTGCTAAAAAAGCAACTTATCTGGCAATAATAGAGTCCAAAAAGGACTAGAGGCTGCCTTCCTGGGAAAACCCATGATTTAGCTGGAAATGTCATTAAAACAATCGATTCCGTTTGAAGCATCAATTGTATATACTAGGGGAAAGCTATTTTAAAAATAATAATTGTAAATGGACACAGATGCTACAGAAAGGGAAAAAGGAAGAGAAAGGAAATGAAATGAGGATATGATTACTAATATGCAATCAAAGAGAATAAATCAAAAACATCAGAGAAATTTATATGCGATGAAAGTATAAGAAAAAAACACGAGTGGGCTCATTGCGATTCGGAACTCGAACTATACTACCGTTGAGCAGTTTTTAGACCCCTACGCCACCAATAATCTTCTTAAGAGGTAAAGATGAACTTTTGCTACTTCAGCAAGTCAAATCACGGAAGGAGATCCATGGATTGTCTATTTCCGCCACCCGATGGGTTGACGTCCCAGTCAAATGCGTTTTTGAAGAAATAATCGATCCCCATCATCGCTTCATCCCCACACATCTATTCATGTGCAAATGATGGCACGCTCCGGCAAGGTTCTGTGACGAAATCATTTTTGCCTCCAGAGTCTCCAAAATGTATACATCTTAGTGATCAAATGTGCAATCACTGAGAAAAATGGCTCGCGTAGCGAGTGATCGGGGGTCCAGGGGGCGCAGCCCCTTGGCTGGCCGTTCTGGACGCGCAAAGCGCGTCCAGAACGGCTAGTATGTTCTAAATTTTGAAGCTAGGGAAAATTCAAAATAGTGAAGGAGCCATGGCGTAAAATTCCATCATACGACAACAGCTATATTAAAAAAAAATAAGGGCATAGTATTCTAACCCCAAATTTTTGTCTATTCTGTTTTTTTTTATTGATGTAGCTGCTACGGCTCTGCAAGTACTCGAATTTCAGATCAAGTCAAGCTCAGTCCAGTGAAACCGACTTGACTCCAAGTTAGCTGGTTCCTTCAGCTCAACTCTCGGTAAGAGTGCCAATGAGCAGAACTTCGGAGAGCCAAGAAATGAGGTAGAACTAGGTAGAACTTTATAGAATATACAGTATCTTTATTGTCTGGTTGTAGAGTTCACGGCTCTCAAAGGAAGCAAACTGAGATATGAATTTTTTCAGGTACATGTCTGATGTTATTTGTAATGAAGGTTCTTATCCATTTACAGGAAGTCGGGGTTTTGGATATAGGCTATGGAGCAAAGGCCTGAAACCGGGGTAGGACAAAAGCATCAAATTTACCCCTTTGCGGTACTAATTGTCCAGGGACATACTGATACAATTAGTGAGGAACACGGTTTGACCCAGAACAAATTGCTTAGCAAATTTTTCTTATGTAAACATCATCAGTAGATCCTAATTGCACCCTCATAAATTATTGAAAACCCAACTTTTTAGACATGATTTGAAAGCTCTTGGAGCGTAGGTGTTTTTCACTACCGTAAGCGAAAATTAGTCTGTGACAATCGACACATGACTTAAAACAAAGACTTGAAAATTAAAAAAAGGCAATTTGGCATCACTTGGGCAAACTTTCACTTTTACTTAAAGAGATGGCAGGTTCCAAAAAAATATTTGGTGGAACAAAGAATTCTACATCTCAAAAGCTGACAAACAAAAAGTTGAGCAAAATTGGTTTATTTTGTGCTAAGTTATGGCGTCTCAAAGTTAATAAGTCCAAAATTGGCATGCACCATCTTGAATAGGAGATATCTGGCGTTTGGGTCAAAATTAAGAGATACCTCCTCTTTCTAAAATGAGCTAAGCGCTACTTAGATTCATTCCTAAAATTTTCAGCATTTTAAAAAAAAACATCAAATTTATATTTCCTTTCAGATTGTAGTCACCATACTATAATGGATAGTGCATGATTCCTCCTTTGCTGATTAACTTTGAGGGATAAGACGATAAAAATCCTGCTGAATTACTTCACTTCACTGGATTGGGGGACACAAATATAGTTTTTGCACTTACTCAGGCACAGTTTACCCTTCTGGAGCAGCAGTTTGTGTACTCTATTTTTGCACTTACATGGCCTTTATTCTCTTTGAGCACAAATTTAAATAAACAATTGTCAAACTTCCAAAAACAAGGTTTATTTTTACACAGGAGAAAAAATTTAGAGAGGTGGTGGGCCAATTTTATTTAACAGGAGAATTGAGGTTTCCTACTTTGAAAAAAAAGTTATTGAAACTATGAAAACCAAACATTTTCCGAAGCCATATACATCCCACTATGAGAATAATATCTTTGCCACGCACTTAAAGGTTTTGTTTGATTGTGAAAAGAGTTTAATGATCAGAAAACCGTGATTAGTTGTAATTCTGATGACATCCTTCTCTTTGCCTTACTGTTCATGGTTATGACTTTCACACACTAGGAAAAGCAAATATCTCTTTGAGATTGGTTGTTTTATAATAGGGCCATTCCATGTCAACTGTGCCAGGCTCGAAACCCAACCCACTCAGATTTGGCTGAAAATTGGTACAGAAGGTCCTTACATCATTCTAAGTTACTAATTTGAGGGGTTTTCCCATCAGATGCACAGTGCGGAATCCTATGGACAAAAATCAAAAATTGACTTTCAAATTCTTCAGATATTATTATAATATTCGTGATCAGGACAATTTTTCTGACACAAAGGTGTACTTTTTATTAAATTTCCTCTGAAAACGTGTCTGTTATGAATTGGGCCTGTTGCAAACTTTTGCTAGAGCAATTATAAGAGTTGTTTTCTGTAGATAATGACTCAAAAATCACAATGAGCGCATTGGCAAAGTCTGAAATGCACTCATAACTTCACAATCTGCGTAAGAAATTTGCGGTTTTTTGAGCTTCCCGCTTCAAAAACGATACTACGGCACAGGTGAACATTTTGATAGAGGAGTCGTTCCATCGTCGGCAATACTCATCATGGCCGACGCCAATCCGCCATAACACGTGTGATGGGACGAGATAACACCTGAACAGGATTAGACCAGATAACAATCGGCGTGTTAACGTTCACATTTTCCTCGCCCGCCTTGATTGACCTTGAACTCTCCTCGAATTACGCGCGGAACTGCGCGCAAGCGTCGGCCATGATGAATATCGCCGACGATGGAGCGACTCCTCTAACAAAATGTTCACCTATGCCGTAGTATCGTTTTTGAAGCGGGAAGCTCAAAAAACCGCAAATTTCTTACGCAAATTGTGAAGTTATGAGTGCATTTCAGACTTTGCCGATGCGCTCATCGTGATTTTTGAGGCATTATCTACAGGAAACAACTCTTATTTTTGCTCTAGCAAAAGTTCGCAACAGGCCCATTCCATCGAAACGGAACTGTCCCAAAAGAAATACAAAGTATTTTAGTTGGCAACTTCAGATACATTTTATTCGAAAATTAGTGGTATTCCTCTGGGTACTTCACATTTTCTCATTTTTTGGATACTCAACTTCAATCCTGAAAAAGCACTTTTACGACTTTTTGCAATTATCCGAGATTTTTCCACTTAAAAATTGGTTCAAATGAGATTCAAAGCAGCATTTTTAGTCACAATATTGAGTGTCATAACTTCTAAATACATGTATTTAGCGCATAGCCATTTTTGACCTATTGCACCGCCTCTCAGATGTTGGGAGCGTCATAATTCGTTAACCGAGGGTCCAGTGGGGCTCAATTGAATACTTCATACCTTTTTTGGGTTCCGTGAGTCTATTCTTACGGTGCCTTACATTTTTGTCCACTAGGGTGGTTCTTATTTTTCGACTTTTCGAAAATCAAAAGTCTGACCCCCCTAAAAGTTGTCATTTGGTGTGAAATGAACCTACATTCAGCCCGATCAGGTCATCCTAGGTGGGGCCGTCGGGGCCGACAAGTCTTCAAGCGGGAACTTCAAATTCCGGACAATTTCCGGTATTTTAGGGCTAAAAGGGGCAACTTACCGATAGTAAGTCCCGTTACATCACTGAAAATAAATTTCCTTTATAGTTATAATGCCTAGGTTCCTTGAATATGATTATTTTAAGTACTCAAACACTAAAACCACAGATTTTGGCAACATGATAATTTTGGAGACCTGGAATTACCCATCGGAATCGATAATTTCTCAAATTTTCTAAGAAACTCTTCAAGAATGGCCTTCTTTGTGGGCCGTCAATTCCGCCATCGAACCGAGTTTGAAATGGAAGCTCATAATGACCTGAGGCTCACAGAAAAAATTCAATATGAGCGCTATTCAAGGAACATTGTTGGTTTCTGGTATCGATTAGCAAAAGAATTAATGTTCCTTGTAAAATCGGAAAAAATCGATAAAGAGAATCGATGTATCGATGCCTTGACGTGAAAATCGAATTCTACGTGAACAAATATTGTAGTATCGATAGGTTGAATATGTGTGAACAACGACTAGAAGCCCGAGGTAACATCAATTCAACAAGAAAACGGCGAATAATAGATCGGATTTGCTCCCCTCCCCCTCCGGCCACCGAAACTCGTAAACCGTTCCTACGCTCATATTGAATTTTTTCTGCGAGCTTCAGGTCATTATAAGCTTCCATTTCGAACTTGGTTTGATGGCAGAATCGTTGGCCCACAAAGGAGGCCATTCTTGAAGAGCTTCATGGAAAATTTGAGAAATTTTCGATTCCAATGGGTAATTCCAGGTCTCCAAAATTATCATGTTGCTAAAACCTGTGGTTTTAGTGTTCGAG